TTTGGCCGAAAAGGCAAGGGCTCACCCGGCCTCTCCTGTTTAAACGCAACGGTCGTGGGATCTGGGCCGTCGGATCTGCATCCTGCGGCGGAGGAGTCACCCCGCGGCCTTAACGGCTACCCGCACCCCACAAGGCCCGATTCCCACATGTGCTTTCAAATTAGAAGCTGGTCTCACTTGTTTCCTTCTCCCCTCCTCATCTCATCGCCAGCCAACACCTTTTAGGGGTCTATTTTTAGTCACTTGCTTCACAATTCTCCTTTAAATGCACCCCCCCTACTGTCATGTCAGGTTTTATTAACAAATATTGCTTGATTCGAATGCAACAGATTTTGCAAAAACTATCTTCCCTGTTACAAAGATAATTATATATCATGGCCCCACTCAATATATCGCACAATACAAATCATGGTAGTAACTTGTACAATTTGGTTAGCCCTTGAATCTTAGGTTTTCAATATATTCTTATAATTTTCTGTTTACCAACACGCAGAATACCGGGGGAAATATGTGTGCTCTTTCGACAATAGACCCACTGTTTTACTTTGCAGCTGATAAGCCGTGAAAAAATGAACGAAGCAACCAAAAATAATTTATAGTTAAAAAGTTTATATTTATGTTCTTAGCAATTCAAAAGCCAATGATAGAAAAGAAACTACGATGAAAAAAAACTCCAAAACCAACTCTAAAATTAGGTTTAAAAAAATTCAAAATTTTGTAGTGGCTAGTAAGCCAATTAGAAAACAATAGGTGTGAATGACCTTTTTTTTTTGCCAAAGATCTAACTTTACAAAACTATGCCATGTTTATATCATGTGTAATTTAATTAGTTGAGTTCAATAAAGCTTTCATTATCTTTGAAACAACTAAGGACATAAGGAACGTGATTAGGTTGTGTTCTTATGAGTCTTCCTCTTGGCACGCAAATGGAGTGGTGGATTAGCTCATGATTAATTAAGTATTAGTTAAAAAACTTGAAATGAATTAATATGATTTTTAAAGTAACTTTCCTATAGAAGTTTTTGCAAAAAATAAACACACACACACACACCATTTAGCGGTTCGAAAAATGTGTGCATGGAAAACAAGAGAGTAAAAGTTGGAAAACAGGAGAAAAGACACACACTGTAAGGCTTGTTTGGGGGAATTTCTAGCAGCTGCAGTATCCCATAGAATCTCCAACTCCCAAAACAATTTAGATTGTCACCCCAAATTCTGAGAATCTATAGTTGTAGAATCCATAAAATGAACTAGAAGCTAGAAGTTAGAAAATCCAGCTTCTCTAGATTCTCATAAGCTACCTACCAACTAGCAGATTCTCATAATCGTAAGCCCCCCAAACAGGGCCTAAGAATGTCACAACCCCCCCCCCCCCCCCCAAACCCACCCAAAAAAAAGTGAGAGATAGAAGGACCGACCTATTAACCGAGTAGAGCAACAATTGTTTAATGTCATACCTTCACATCTATGTCCTTTGAGGTTGGGAAGGGGATGTCATGCTTCCATTGCTCCCCATCAAGCACGCCAAAGTGGCCATTAGTGTTACACTGACCTTCATTGTCAGCTCGATCATCAAGGAACTTGTCTTCTCCAAATTCCTTTTGATGGCATTAATTGGTGTGGTGGTGACAAGATTCACTATAGAAGAATCCATGGAGGAGGCTGAAATGAACATGTAAAGAGTGGTTAGTGGCTAGCGCGGCCGCTAGATCTAGCGGAATCAACAACGACGACGACGGGAGCAAAACATAAGGAATTCGAGAAGGAGGTTGGAAGGAACGTGTAGAGTTGACCGCTGGGTAGGAAGCCTATCATCCCCATCGAAATCGACAACAATGGTGGTGATTAGCATCGCCACCTCCCCATGGTAGTTAGGCTTTTTCAATAGCAATGATTGATGTGGCGGTGGCATATGTAGGGGTGGTCGATGACTAGGAAAGCCGCTAGATCCAGTGGAATCAGCAAACAACAATGGCGATTGGCATGGCCACCTCTCAATGGTGGCTATGGTATTTTGAGGGAGCGATGGGAGGACCATGGTCAACGACTAAGAAGACTGTTGGATCTAGCGAAACCGGCAACAACACATAGGGTTGTGGTTGGCATAGCTATCTCCCTAGGGTATTTCAACACCAACCAATGTGATGGTGGTGCAATTTACTTGGATGAATAAGTAGATGGAGTTGATGAAAGGATCTTGGTCGACGACTAGGAAGATTGCTAGCGGAATCGGCAAAAACAACGGTGGTTGGCGTCGGCCTGTTTGTGTATATCCTTTTCATTTTTGTTTAATGTGTGATTTAGTGGGCTACACCATTAACTGCAAGATTCTTTTTTTTTCATTTTGTTTAATATGAGGTGGCTGACTCTTAATGACCTACACTATAGAAGGAATTCTGTAATTAATTACTTTTAATATATGCTAGGTGGCCCAAATGGTTTAAACCATAGCTGGATTTTTTTTTTTGATTTTGTTCAATATGAGGTGGCTGACTTAATGACCTAAATCATAGAAGGAAGCTTTTTAATTATTTTTTAAGTATACACCAGGTTGGCCCAAATGGTTTAAATCATAGCTTGATTTTTTTTTTCATTTTGTTCAATATGAGGTGGCCAAGTTTAATGGGATAAATCATATCAGGAAATAAAATATTTGAAAAGTAATACTTGCCATTTATTTTCATGGAAACTAATACTTGCTTTGTGTGGCAATGGGGTGAAAATATAGCCTCCCATCGTGTGCCTTTTGCTTATAAGGCGCTGCTAAAATTTAAGTTTTAAAATTTTGATTTTGGAGTTAATTTTAGAGTTTCTTTTTATCATACTATATATTTCAACATTGACTTTGTTGACGTGTACACAAGTTTTACCCATAATTTTTTTTACCGATAAAACATTTTACATTAGCTGTACGTAGGCCAAACAATTAGACTGATAGACACTCATGCACGTGTAGGCACAAGGCAGATGTATTTTGGATCGATTTCTGCCACTAAAATTTGGAAATCCCTCAAATATTGTCTATACGAAAAGGAGAATCGGGCCCATGCGTCATGGAGAGAATGAGTGAAATATAAAAGATGAGGCAAATTAAATTATCGTTAACACTTAACACATACTGTATGCAGTATAGTTTCATAGCTTGAAGTAAATCAAAGGAAAATGACTGAGAAATCATGATCACTAGCTAAATGCCCTTCTTTGCTATGGATAAAAGAAAATTTATTAATATGTATAGGAATATTCGTCTTGCTCTAATTTTTTATGGGGCTAGCCATTTGGATTTGATTTAAAGTTTAGGGGTTTATTTGCAAAATTTAAAATGAGAGTAGGTAGGATAACATATTTACTGTAACCATCACTGTTTTTTAAAGGAATATAAATATTGTGGGATAAATTACTACTATCTCCGTTCCAATATAAATGCAACATACTACAAATATGACATATTCTACGACTATAAATCTGAATAGACTGTTATTCAAATTCATAGTTTTAGATATATCACATCTATATTATGCTGCCACTTATATTTGAATGAAGAAAATATATTTTTTACTTTTTTTTTAAGGAGTATAGATATCGTGGGATTGGGAAAAACGAATGAATGAATGTTTGAGGGACATGCTACATGCCGTCCTTTTCCTAGTGACGGCTTAATAATGCCGTTGGTTTCTTGTTGCTTTTTGGGTCCACATGGTCCTCCTGTTCAGTCCAGTCCTTACCGTTATGTCTCCACCATTTTTATTTGTTTTCCTAGGTAGAGAAGCATCACGGTCACAGTAAAAGTTCAGGCTATACTTACTGTTTGGTAATTTTACTGGGACACCAGAACAACATTTTTGCCTGCAATCGTTAGTGTGTCAGTAGTATCGTGCTGTACCAAAAAGAGAGATATGTATACAAGTACAACTATATCTGTATACCTAATTAAAACATAAGTAAGGCTTTCGATTTTGTTTGTGTCTATCTGGTTTTTCGCCTTTGTTTTCTAGGCCGAACAATTTTTTCGCCTTTTTTTTCTAGGCCGATTGATTTTTTTTTCTGCGTGCACGCGATAAGTCTATATCTAATTAAAAAATAAGTAAGGCCAGATTCCATTTTGATTTTGGTCCATATGATTTTTTGCCTTTTTTTCAGGCTGAACGGTTTTTTCCTGCGCGCACTAGGTAAGTCTATACCTAATAATTAAAAAAAAAAGTAAGGCTTCTGATTTTGTTTTTAGTCCATCTGTTTTTTTTGCCATTTTTTTTAGACCGAACGGTTTTTTCCTACCCTCATGCATTAAGTCCATATTTTTCAATCTCCTCTAGTCCAATTCGTACACCTCAGCCGCCATCGGACCAAAGTCCGTCTGGTCCATTCCGTTTTTTTCGCCGTTTTCTTTTTTTGGTAGAACGGTTTTTTATGCGCGCATGTGGTAAGTCTGGTTTTTTTCAATTTCCTCCGGTATGATCCGCACGCCGCAGCCGCTATCGGGCCAAATCCTAGCATCGTTGCCACTACAATCTACCTCCCCGTACATTTCCTCCTCCAATTGATTGTAAAAATCTATTCCCCACTCCTCCATCATTATTTTACCCATGATGTATTATTTCAATTCGCCCGTACATTTCCTCCTCCAATTGATTGCATAAATATCTATTCCCCACTCCTCCATCATCATTTTATCCATGATTTATTATTTCAATTCGGCTTTAATTCGCTGAATTTAATCTCTATTTAACAGCCGCCGATGATGCCCAATCGGTGAGCTTGATTCGCTCCGATTTTGGGAAAATGGAAAGAGTAGATTAGTGATCAAAAGTCCTTTATCAATTTTGGAAGATCGAGAAAAATTCAGCCGGATTTGGGAGGATCAACTCCGGCATCTCATGGGCACAAAACTACCAACAAAGGTTGAAGACGGTAGTAGGATGTGCCAACTGGACCTACAGCTTCACTTGTGGGTTGGGTTGAAAAGAGGTAGCATATTGGGCTAGTGCTGAAAAGGACGAAAATAAAATTTTTTTTAGTAAAAGAAAAAAAATTGAGATCACCACAAAGGCACAAACTCAAAGAATACCAACATGTAGTATGAGGTTGAAGTGCATATGCATGTAGTGAAATGCTAAATAGAGGTAGATGATCCTGGAATTGAGGTGAAGCCGGCAATTAAGTTAGTTTGTTGCATGCAGAAGTATTGCATGGTGGCAGGGACAATGAAATGAATCTCATCTCCAACGACGATCCATCAAGCACGTACAGGCAAGGGTCGAAGATCGAAGGATATGCTGCGGATGGGCGCGGCGGTGGCGGAGGCGGAGCCGTCGGGGCGGCAGCTGTCCGACGGCGACCTGCTTGAGGAGCTCCTGTCGACGGCGAACGCAGCGCGCGCGTTCCACGAGTTCCGGCAGTCGCAGCGGAAGGAGTGCTTCAACCTGCTGCGGTGGCTGCAGCTCCTCCTCCCGCTGGTCCAGGAGCTCCGGGAGTCGGCGCCGGCGCTGTCGGACGACGCGTACCGGCGGCTGGCCCTGCTGGGGCGGGCGTTCCAGGCGGCGCGGCGGCTCCTCCGGTGCTGCCACGACGGGAGCAAGATCTACCTGACGCTGGAGAGCGAGGCGGTGATGGGGAGGTTCAGGGGGGTGTACGAGAAGATGAACATGGCGCTGGAGGGGATGCCGTACGCGGAGCTGGGGGTGTCGGACGAGGTGAAGGAGCAGGTGGAGCTGATCAGCGCGCAGCTGAAGAAGCGGAGCAAGAAGCGGACGGAGACGCAGGACATGGAGCTGGCCATGGACCTGATGATGATCCTGCAGAGCAAGGAGCAGGACGCCAACAACGCCGACCGCCCCATCCTGGACCGCCTCGCCAAGCGCCTCCAGCTCCAGAGCCTCGCCGACCTCCGCGCCGAGACCATGGCCATCAAGAAGCTCATCAACGACCACCAGTCCGACTCCACCAACCAGATTGTCGACCTCCTCCACCGCCTCAAGGCCATCGCCGGCGTCGACGAGAAGAACATCCTCGGCGACGTCTTCATCCCCAAGTACCTCGAGAAGTGCCCCTCCCTCATGATCCCCAACGACTTCCTCTGCCCCATCTCCCTCGAGATCATGACCGATCCCGTCATCATCGCCACCGGAAGGGCAAGTATTCTATTCATCATCATCATCTTCTTCCTCGATCCATCCATGGATATCAATTATCTGATGGATTCAAATAATGCAGACCTATGAACGCCGCAGCATCCAGAAATGGCTGGACGCAGGGCAGAGGACGTGCCCCAAGACGCAGCAGCCGCTGGGCCATCTCTCCCTGGCGCCCAACTACGCCCTCAAGAACCTCATCATGCAATGGTGCGACAAGAACAAGGTGGAGATCCACTCCGGCGACCCGCCGCCGGAGCCACCCGAGGACCCCAAGGTGGTCATCCCCACGCTGGTCAAGGACCTCTCCTCGCCCAACCTCGACGTGCAGCGCAAGGCCGTCAAGAAGATCCGGACGCTGTCCAAGGAGAACCCCGAGAACAGGCTGCTCGTCACCGACAACGCCGGCATCCCGGCGCTCATCGGCCTCCTCCCTTACCCCGACAAGAAGATGCAGGAGAACACCGTCACCTCGCTGCTCAACCTCTCCATCGACGAGGCCAACAAGCTCCTCATCGCCAGGGGCGGGGCCATCCCCTTGATCATCGACGTGCTCAGGAACGGCAGCGTGGAGGGGCAGGAGAACTCCGCGGCGGCGCTCTTCAGCCTGTCCATGGTGGACGAGAACAAGGTCGCCATTGGGACCCTGGGAGGCATACCTCCGCTGGTGGACCTCCTGCAGAACGGCACCGTCAGAGGCAAGAAGGACGCCTCCACGGCCATCTTCAACCTCATGCTCAACAATGGCAACAAGCTGAGAGCCATCGAGGCCGGCATCCTGCCCACGCTGCTCAAGCTGCTCGACGACAAGAAGGCCGCCATGGTCGACGAGGCGCTCTCCATCTTCCTCCTGCTGGCCTCCAACCCTACGTGCCGGGGCGAGGTTGGGACGGAGCATTTCGTGGAGAAGCTGGTGCAGATCATCAAGGAAGGGACTCCCAAGAACAAGGAGTGCGCGGTCTCGGTTCTTCTCGAGCTGGGCTCCAGCAACAACGCCCTCATGGCGCACGCCCTCGGCTTCGATCTCCATGACCATCTGGCCGACATTGCCAAGAACGGCACCAGCAGAGCGCAGAGGAAGGCCAATTCTCTCATCCAGCTAGCTCGCAAGTGTTCATGAGAAGAAGAAGATCGAGTTAATACGAACCAACTGTCAGAAACCGCAACAGTAATTATTCTTTTATATACTCCACTAGTTTTGGATCAATAGTAGATAGCTAATCTGTCATGTTCACACACACACGTACAACAACTAACATGTAAGTGAGAAATTACAAAGATTAATTGTTTGTTGGCATTACTGCAATTTTTGTTGTAATTAAGTCTCTATACTATGCTATGGTAAATGTATAAGAGAAGTCGTTGTTGGTGTTTTAATAGGAAACCAAGCAAAATTAATTTACTAGTATCTTATTCAGGTTAAATTATTAGTACTAGTTTCGCAGTACATTGACAGTGACTTTGGCCCTATTTGGGGGAGCTTGTCCCAGCTGCAGCTTTTTCCAAAAGCTGCTTCTGTTAGAAGCTGCCCCAAACAGTCCACAGCTTCTGAGAATCTGTAGTTACAGATTCTAAAAAATGAACTAAGAAGCCAGAAGCTGGGTTTCAGAGATTTTCCAGATTATCAGAAGCTGGCTACCAAACAGCTGCTTCTCAGAATCTAAAGCTCTCCCAAACAGACCCTTTGTGAGGTTACTGAAAAAAAGAAGCCCAACTAACAACACATCAGCCCAACTACAAGTAGAAAACCTCCTTACTCGCACAGGCCGGCCCAGCTCTATCTCACCGTCGTTGCCATCCTCTCCTCTGATGTCCGACCACCGGGAGGGACTTCCCTTCCGTCTCCTCTCCCGGCCGGATCGGAATCGCCGCGACGCGCGCACCGACGGTGGAGAGGGAGACATACGCTTCTCCACCTCGGCTCCAGCCTCCTCTCTCGCAAGATCCTCGCGCCCTTCCCTCTCGATGTTTTTCTAGCTAGGGTACTTTGTTTAATTTCGTCGCGTGCCGTTTGCTCTACTCGATCAAAATTTTGATGCTCTTGCAATAGCTCTCTGGAGCTGTACTTTCTAGATGAAATCTATGAATTGTTAGCCTCATATATATGGGGACGATTTATGCACGAAGTAGTGAACACTGAGGATTAATTAGGGAAACATGCATTGAACGTACTGTTATAAAAACAGGCCCATATGCTTCAAATTATTATTTTTTTTGACTGCGTGCAGTCATATATATACAAAATGTGGGAAATACACATTCCCCAAGTCTAGGTACCCACAAATTAATTAAGAACATATATAGATAGGCAACATATATGAAAATCAGGAGAAGAGAAGAGTTGAAATCAAGGAATTAACACAAACATGTATATATATGAGCTTAGCAGTTTATAAATATTTAATTATATCATTTGTCTTGTCGATCGATCGAGCTAAGAAACTTAAATGAAGTTCAGACTAAAAGCCAAAGAGAAATAACACACACGCACAGAGAGAGATGCCGTCCCACAGCTTCATTTTTCAGTTTTTGATATAACGTTTGACTCTTCGTTTTATTTAAAAATTTTCTATGATTAGTGTTTTTATTATTATTAGATGATAAAATATGAATAGTATTTTATACGTGACTATTTTTTTTACTTTTGTATAAAATTTTCAAATAAGACGGATGGTCAAACGTTAGAAAAAAAAACCTAAAAATGAAGCCTTTGAGATGTGCACGGACACCAACACGTCAATCGACCAAGGCCGAGTTTAGTTCCAAGTTTTTTCTTCAAACTTCCAACTTTTTCATCACATTAAAACTTTCTTATAGCACAAACTTCCAACTTTTCCGTCACATCATTCCAATTTTAACCAAACTTTCAATTTTGGTGTGAACTAAACACACCCCAAAAGAACCCTAAGCTAGCTTATTGATCTCTAGCTAATTAATTCTTCGCCTCTTGATCTTTCTTCCCCTCCTCAACAACAACAACAACTTACTGTGTATCCAGGTAGTATGACCCTCGATCTACAGCTAACCACCGGCTAATCGTACCCATATCTATACTACTGTCGTCATATGGTTATACGTGTCTCTTTATTTAAAAAAGAGCCTAGAGTAAAGTTCGACTCTAATTCTATTCTGCACATATTATAATTACAATTCTCTAAACCGTCACCAATTTTATACACATATCTGATACAAGCTCTAACAGGGTCGGTAATATACCGCTCACGTGTGCATTAATGCTCTATTTATTCACGGTACGATGAAAAAATATTTTCTCAAATTAGAAACTGAAAGCCACATGGTTTCTATAAAAACTATGGGTACAACCACAAATGACAAATCCTGAACGTATGTTTACCCGTTGAACGGCCATGATGAAGCTAGTTCTTCGGGAAGCAGGGACCAATATTCAGGTGAATAACAATGTAGGAGGTTGAAAATTTTTGAGATGGTAAATTATAAAGTGGAGATTTAGAAAATCACATATAGTTCCATTTTGATACGATCGATCTTTGCACCAATATACCTTTTTTAGGGCAACCGATATACTTGAACTGCTGTTATAAAATATAACTGAAAAAATTAAGCTGGACATAGCTTGAACTGTTATTGTCAAACAGGTTCAATATGCCTAAAAAATTAGACATTCATAAATAATGTGGGAAACACACATTCCCCAACACTAGCTACACACAAATTAAGAACATATATATAGAGAGAGAGATATGGAAACAGATAAGAAACTCAGGAGAGAAGAATTTAAATTGCGGAGCCCAAACATGCATACATATGATCTAGGTTGTAATGTTTGTTTATTTTTCTTGTCAATCGATCGAGCTTACAAAGTCCCGACAGGACCAAAAGTGTCAAAGAGAAACAAAAACTAATAAAAAGAAGAAAGAGAAAAGGGCATGTGCACATAGGCGCGCTGCATGCATGGAGCCATGGAGTAGGAAGCTAGCTAGCTACTCCCTCCGTCCCGTAATATAAGGAATTTTAATATTTTACTTGCACTGTTTGGCTATTCGTCTTATTCAAAAAAATTTAGAATTATTATTTTTTTTGACTTGCTTTATTATCCAAAGTATTTTAAGCACAACTTCTCATTTTTTATATTTGCACAATTTTTTTTAATAAGACAAGTGGTCAAATAGTGCAAATAAAATATCATATTAGGATACGGAGGGAGTACAAACCAACACACAACGCACATGGACACCAGCAAGACGATCAACCGACCGAACGAACCCTAAAACACTTCACTTGTTGATCTCTCTCTCTAATTCTTCGTCTCATCATCTTTCTTCCCCTCTTCAGCAGCAACAGCTTCTTCACTCCTGTGTTGCCTGGATCTTCAGTGACAGATCCACTAGTGGAGAAACCATCTTTGGTCGGTCGACCAAAATCCACAATAGTCCCGGTTCCACTAAAAACTGGGACTAAAGATGACTAAAAATCTTTAGTCCTGGTTGGTAGCTACAGTGGGCATATTTGATCTTTGGACTAAAGATCATCTTTAGTCCCGGTTCGTATGTTGTCAGCGGTGATCTTTACTTCCGGTTGGTGTTACCAACCGGAACTAAAGTTAGGAAAAACAAAACCTCTATCCACACGCGCATGCAAAGTCTCCTATTAATTCCATCCTTATCTCCTCCTCTCCCATTCAGCCATCTCCATCTTATCTTCTTCTCTCCTCTCCTCCCATCCTTCTCTTCCTTCTTCTCTCACCCTATCTCCTCCTCCCCTCTCTCCTCCCCCTCCTCCCCTCCCTTCCCCTCCGGCGGGGCGGCGGGATGGAGGCCGGCCGCGGCGGCCCCGGGCGGGGCGACGGGATGGAGGCCGCCGCCGGCGACCCGACGCGGGGCGGCGAGATGGAGGCGGCGGCGGGCTGCGTCGGGGGCGGCGGCGGCCGGCTGTGTTGGGCGCGGGGCGACAAGATGGGGCGGCTGGCGCCGGTCGAGAGGGCAGCGGCCGGCGCCGGGCGGGAGGCGGCGGCCGGCGCCGGTCGGGATGGCGGCGGCCGGCGCCGGTCGGGATGGCGGCAGCCGACGCCGATCGGAAGGCGGCGACAGGAGAATTTTTTTTTTCTCTTCTTTGTGCTATCTGATGAATGCTGAAGATGTTGTAGATGCGAACTTTCTTTTTCCTTTCTTTGTTCTCTGTGATGAATGCTCTCTGTGATGAGATGTTGTAGATCTGAACAAGTGTAAACAATATGGATGCTTTGTTGTTTGATTTTATTCATTCGATCTATGATTGATTTAGGCTTTGTTGTTGATTTTATTCATTCGATCCACGAGCGAAAGCTAAAAAACAATAAAAAAGGGAAAAGACCAACGGGATGAAAGGAAAAGAAAAAAAAACCAAAACTTTTTAGTCCCGGTTGGTAACAACAACCGGGACCATATTTTTAGTCACCAACCGGGACTAAAAATCGATTTTAGTCCCGGTTATTTGAACCGGGACTATAAAGGGTTACCAACTGGGACAACAAAGTGTTTCTCCACCAGTGATCGTTGAGATCGAAGTCGACCAAAAATCAACTTTTCTATAATATTATAGAGTATAGTGACATCTAGCTTAGCACTCTATCAAAAATCAACTTAAAAAAGGCGAATATTAGAAAGGACCTAATATCAAATAATTAGAAGGGGTGATGCTTTAAACCCAGGTCGTCTAGCCCACCACCTTATGGAGCTAGTCGAAAGACCCCAGGACGTTTTCGTTAAGCACCATAAATATGAACGTTGCAACTCCCTGAGAGGACGGTTATCCATATATTTCCATCAAACTACACTTTTGTTCATGCGGCATTAATATAAAATAAAGTAGAATAAGGCTTTAATCGAAAGAAAATACGATGTACATACAATGCCTACGGCACATGAATAAAAGAAACATTAAATTATATGTCCAATATTTTAGATTAATCTATGAAAAATTTTACGTTGTGTGCCTAACATTTTTAGTGTGAAAGAGGACACACGCGGTGCTGTGTGGCGTCCGTGCACACGCGTACATGTGTGTGGGGCTTGGGGGGTGCGGGAGATACGTGTGTGGGAGGGGAGGGGGGGTATGTATAGAAAATTAATAAGGCGAATACTTTGACGGTTCCATAGAAGTTTATTGGTTCAAAATTTGATTGTTTTTATAAGAAAAAGGTAAATGTATATATTTCAGTGCTAGTTCATAACGATGTACACAATTGTTTACAAGTCATGAAAAGTTGGTACGTAATCAATTAAATGCTACCTTGATCGTAAAATTTACAATCAAGAACTAATAATTAACCCAAGGTGTAAGTTTTGAGAATTAATTAACCAAAATAATTAAGCTGATCACGTCAAGGAATAAAATGTTATTCAGCACCCGGTCGAATCAATTAAGAAAAATGGAAGGGGGTCATCAGGCTGAATTAACAAAGGGCCGAGTATGTGACACTTGGATAGAAGCTTGAGAAGATGCATATGCGTAAGGAGGAAGGGCCATTACAGGTAGGTGGTCAAAGGAATATTGCTTTTGCTACATCTCTAATCAACGGCCTTGTTGGCTCTAAGCAAGTCACAAGAGATATATACTTACGGCAGCAAGCATGCTAGGCGTCACTCCAGCAACATAAGCTGGTTACTAGAGTAAGGTCCTGTTTGTTTCAGCTTAAAATTATTATAATCTAGATTATTAAATCAGATTATTTTAAGCTGGATTATAATAAGCTAACATAGAATAAACTGCGAGCTGTTTGTTTATCTGGATTATTGAAGGTATCTAAGGGTAATGGGTCTTTAGCCACCCAATAATCTAAAAAAAGCTCCTCCAGAGGAGATTATTAGATTATAATAATCTGGCTTATAAATTATAATAATCTATCATAATAATCTACTTGTTTATTTCAGCTTACTCTTAATAATTCAGATTATAATAATTCTAAACTGAATCAAACAGGGCCTAATTAGCAGGTGGTTGTTGTCAGTACGTACTAATTAGTCGATCCCCTTCCCAGTCACCGGCCGGCTCCCCAGCCTCACATCTATCTGTGTAGCTAGCGTCTGTAAATAAAAGAGTAAATTTTATGAAACTGTGTATACTTTACTTAATTAGAATATTATCACAAAACTATATATATATATTTAAGATGATGTATAAAAAAAACTACAGATTTAACACCAAACTTATCACTAAATTTTATATTTAAGGTGAAGTATCGCAAATTAAACAACAGATTTAGTAACAAACTTATCATGAAACTACGTACATATACATGTTTAGCGTCAATTTAATAACAAAATTTGGACATTTATAACTCAAACATAGTAGGTGTTAGTACTAAGAATTTAAACCCCAAGATATATAGTTTTGTGATAATCTTATTGTTAAATATGTAGTTTTACGATACTTAGCATTAAACATATAATTTTGAAATAAATTTATTGTTAAAATCTATAGTTTTGTAATACATCACTTTAGTTAAATATATAGTTTTGGGATAATTTAATTGAAGCATTTGTAGTTTTTTGAAATTTACTTAAAAAAAAACTAGCTAGCGTCACTCCAGCTATATGCTGGCCGGTGTTAATTAATGGCCGGCGTACGTATAGTCGTCGTCGTACGTGTACACCTACCCTGTATTGTTCGCTCTAGCTAGCTACCGTATATAAGCATAATGCCTTACATGAGTCCCCTAGCTAGAGCCGGCCATGTCTGGCCGCGGCCAGCGCCGGCGACGACGACGTCGATCACTCGATATCGGCCGGCGAGCTCATGAGATATCTCGTACTCGCTTGCTCAGCTTGTCATTCACTGGAGTTTAATTAATTAAAGGCTAGATTATTGATACATGCCATGCTAGCTAGCTAAGGTAGTTATTATGTTACCTTTTCTTTTCAAAAAGAAAACCTATATATGCGCTATATATATATTCATATCATTCGATCGCCTCGATTAGATTGCAAGAAGCAAGCAAGCGCAATGAACTGTATGTGTGGCTTATACTGGAGTATATTGTTACGTTTTTTTTCCAAAAGGATTCTTATATATGAGTGATTCATATCATTTCGAAGGAAAAAGAAAATCATCGTTTTCAATCTTCAGATACTGGTCTTAGTCAGTTAATTAGCTAGTAGAGACAACATGAGCAGAATATATGAGAAACTGCTGAGATATGGAGTGCTAGCTAGAGGATGACATGCATTCGCTTCCAATGTCAACGGCTGAACGCGTATCATTCCAAATTAACACTACATTACACCAGTAGAGTCTGCATCACATGTCATATATAGATTGTCTTTTTAGTGAAAAATAAAAATAGCTAAATAAACAAATTTGAAGCACGTACCTACCCTGCCTTCTCAGTGGGTAGGTACATAGCTAAAATAAACGTATGATATTTATGCACGTTATCCTGAGTAAAACTTTTACTCATGATTAATTTGCGAGTAAAAATTTTACTCATAATGATGTAGACAAATCTCAGATGTCCATTTCTTTATCCCACGATAGTTTTCATATTATACTATACATAACTGTGGCATCATGCATGCTTCCTTGCTAGTAAATCTCAACAAATATCTCATACATCCACCTAGCGTTATGGTGTAGTTTCAGAAAAGAATATCAATTCTCTAACAAAGAAAAGAAGAAGAATCATGATGGTATTAAATTCTGGGCTGTTCTTCGCTGATGTATATCGCAGGAGGAAGGTTGACTCCGGTCCCAGCGCTAGTAGGACTCTTTGACTCTGTAATTGTGTCGTCACTGCAAGATACGAAAAACAAAAATTCTATTTTCCTTGCAAAGGGAAACTGAAAACCAGTGTGGTTTTGTAGAAAGCTGTGGGTTTCGAAAGAGCCTCTCCAAAAACCATATACTGGAGTAACTCCCATGCTAACGTCCATTATGCATAAATGCATGATATTATTAGTAGTGACCGGTAGTATATTTTGTTTAAATTATATGACAAACTTATATGCTAAAAAAAACCAACGGCACATTTATAATCTTATTAAATTCATACTGAAAGTTCACTTAATTGTATATATGTAATATTTATAGGTATCGGGACATATTATTCCACCACATCATTGATGCTTCCCCAATTAGTATAGTATAAATTAATCCAATCAATATTATTTTGATGGTATACCACTTGTTCCTTGGCATTTTGAGGTTCTAACCCAACAGAATACCACAATTGCAGATGCGTGAATATGAATATCTAAAATGATTTTGGTTTAATTTACTACACTTCCATTCCTCATTGGATCAGTCACGAAAATTCGTGATAGTTGTAGCACACTAGAATATAGTAGCTTGTAACTCAAAATTCCATATTTTGTATAAAAAAAGAATTAATCCGGACTGGAAAGTTTCTGAGCAAAACAGAAATATTTGCTCCTATAACAAGTTTTGAAGTATAGAAGGTTTTTTTTTTTTTGCCGCCGCATAAAATTCTCCATATAAAGTTTGTACTATTAACAGCTTCGAGCAGAGTTTTCTACTATTTTCTACTGGTAGACACTATGCCAGTAGGAAGTAACATGGAAAAATTTGTAGTATGAATAGAAATTTATTGGGTGGAAAATTTCATTGGCAAAAAGAAAGTTAAGTCCACCTTTCTCCATACCAACAAGAATTAATTAATATAGGCTGAGCGCGCCTATGCACATGGACGTTACGAAGGCTAGCCGAATGTGCATGCATGCATGCACGTGATCTTTCGCGCCCTCATAAGCGCCACACGTACGTTAGGGTATTAGGCGGTATCAGTTGCCTTTGTTAGTGACTGACAACTATAACTTACTAATTAATAGCATTTTACATGGTATTTTCGTTCATGTCTATATAAAAAAGCATATACTACACATGTAGCTAACTAGATTTTTTTTCCAAGTAGCCATTTACAGGCATGAGTAAATGATAGTTTTTTATTCAAAGAAGATAAATAACTATTGTAAAATTAAGGTCTAAGTACATGAAAGACTTAGCTAGTTTAAGGGCAAAAACAGTCTCACAAGAATGGTGAAGATTTTTGTTGCTTGAATGGGGAAGGTGTGTACGCATAGTTTAACAAGAAAATTCATGTCGATTCTCTACCCAAAAGTCAAAAGATAAACTAAGACTCGTAGTAAACTCTATTTCTCTTGACATCGAGTTCAAAAGTTGAGTCATGCCGGTCGACCACCAAGAACAAACACTGGGAAGTGCTAGGGACGACAATGTACAGCACACCTGTGCAATGCTCTATTGACTCACGCTAAGACGAAAAAATATATTAAAAAAGTAAATTATTTTCTCAAAGGTGAAACTGAAAACCAGGATGGTTTCTACAAAACCGTGGGTACAACCACAAATCCGGAACGTTTGTTCATCGGTTGAACGGCCGTGATGATGTTAGTTCTTCTAGTGGCATGGAGTCAGGGACCATTCAGGGTGAAAAACAATGTAGGAGGCATAAATTTTTGAGATGGTAAATGAGAAGTGCATCACCTAGAGTAGCAATTTTTTGTTTGATACGATCGATCGATCTTTGCACCAATATAGTTGAACTGTTCTTGTAAAACAGGCCGGACTGAAAACGCAGGACATATATAGCTTGAACTGTTCTTGTCAAACAGGTCCAATCGATATACCTCAAATTGTGTAGACATTCATATAAAATGTGGGAAACACACATTCCCCCAAATCACCCACAAATGATGAACATATATGCACATATATCATCCAGGTTGCAATATTTGTTTATTTTTCTTGTCGATCGATCGAGCTTACAAAAAATCAAAGAGAAACAAAAACTAAAAAAGAAAAAGAAGAGAAAGAGACATATGTGCATATGCTGCATGAGCCATGGAGTTGGCTAGCTACGAACCAACACAAGCCCAGACCGACGCAACGCAAGCACAAGAAGTCGATCGATCGACCGACCGAACGAACCCTAAGCAAGTTCAATTATTCCTAATTAATTAATTCTTAGGCTCCTCATCCTTGTTCCCCTCTTGAGCAGCTTGTTCCTCTTGCGCCGCCGCCTGGATGGCCTCAAGTGAGAGATGGTTGAGGTCGAAGTCGTTCTTGGGCGGCTTGGCCATGGCGAGCTGCTTGGCGTGCCAGGAGCAGCCCTTCTTGGTGCTGTGGCTGGCACGGTGCCCACCCAGCGCCTGCCGCGTCTCGAACGGCGCCTTGCATCGGTCGCACACGTAGCGGTACCGCTTCCCGTCGGCGGCGAGGGCGAGGTCGCCGGGGGACGGCTCGCGGGGCGGCTCCATGCCGCGCCAGCCGCGCCCCGGGTGGCTGCGCATGTGCCCGTGCACGGCCTTCTCCGTGGGGAAGTGGCGGTCGCACAGCGGGCACGGGTACCTGCCGGCGCGTTCGTCGGCGGCGGCCATGTCCGCCAGCTTCTCGCGCCAGCTCGCCACGGCGTCGTCCATCTCATGGGACGACTTGAGGGACAGCCATGGGTGGGTGGGGTCGTCGCCGCCGGAGCCGCCGCCGAGGTGATGGACGAACACCTGACCGGCCATAGCTATACTACCTGTCTCCGGTGGCGAGACAGCAAAATGTATGTGGAAGACCTGATGGATGGATGTGCACGGAGGGGGGTACCGGTGTTATATAGCGCGGCGCAGCGCCGGTGGGTACAGCTGAGTAGCGTCACTCCAGCTATGCTGCTGTAATGGCGTACTACTCATCACACGTGTACACCAAGCTGCAGCTAGCTACCAGCCGATCGATGTGATGCCAAAATGTACATGCGCTACATGAGTCCACTCGCGCCCCGGCCGTCGATCCATCCCTTTGACCGCTGCCTGCCACCGCCGGCGACGACGTCCGGCGAGCTCATGGCTGCAGACCGGGCTCTCTATTAGCTCGCTCGATCGAGTACGAGCATGGAGCTTATTAAGGCTAGATTAGTTTATGTATATGCCATAGATATATAACTAGCTAGTTACGTTTTCAAGAAAAAAAAACATACAAGATTCATTTCATCGTCCCGAATTGAACCAACTATGCACAAGAACTACCGCGTAATTCTCGTAGGAGCATCTACAATATGATGGGCTCTGTGGTTGAGTAGAAATGATTTGGTTTTTGACAATTCACCATATATCTTATATATACAAGTAATTTTCAGGGCAACTTATTGACTTTGGCCTTGGGCACAGCTGCACGGATGTGATAATGATGGAGAGTTTCTGAAAGTTGTATGTTGTAAGCTTGAAACGACGGTTATGCAACTTTTTGCCAACTATGGATGGAGATTAACAAATAGACTTAAATAATTGTGTTCTTCTTATCCTAGTGTGGTCACTTTCTATTATGCTTGGGTGTGTTTAATTTTATTTGAACTACACTCTTTGTTGAGTGACATATTGTAATAATTGGCTGTAACTCTGTTGAGTAAAGGCCGGGATATATCTATTTCATTATTAAAAAAAACAAGAACTACCGTGAGGTATACTAAGATGGCATGCATATGCACTTTCAATAATGTCAACAGCTTGACACAGGTCGTCCAAAATAAACACTACACTAGCTAGCAGAGTCATGCACAAGAATACAAGATATAAAAGTGTCACATATAGCTGACATTTTCAGTGAAATGAAAAAAAAATTATATACAACTAAATAACCAAATTTGCAACACATATCTACCCCGCCTATGTAAATTCCAAGCTAGATAGATAGATATGAATTCGCACAATGCCAAACACGCAAGAGCAAGACGAAGCAAGTGTATTTGTTGCTTACATTACATGTGAGTCCTCTCGTCCAACGTTACCCTTTCTTTTCTTTTCACAGCAGGGTAAGAGTTGGCTCTAATTAAGCAAGTCACAACTCACAAGAGATAAGCATTGTGCCGGCCTGCGGCAGCATGCTAGCTAGGCGCGCGTCACTCCAGCTACACTTGTAAGCTAGCTGATTACTACTCCTAATTACTAGTACTAGCTAGGTGGTTGTTGTCACTACGTACTAATTAGTCTCCTTCCCGGTCATAGTCTCCCCAAACCCCAGCCTCACGTCCATCTGTGTATAGCTAGCGAGCGTCACTCCAGCTATATATGCTGGTGTTAAATGGCGTATAATCATCGTCGTCTACAGACTACAAGTAGGGATTGTATTCTGATTCCTTTTCCTTTTAAATTCAATTACAAATAATTATAAAAACTTGACAATATAGAGCATATTGATATTTAGCACTCTACTAAAAATTAACTTCAAATTCGATCTACACACTGAAAAACAATAAAAAAAATCTAGGTATGATTTATATCTCAATGTGTGAGTTGAGTTTGGATCTGGAATTTTATGAAGTGCTATATATATGATGTATGAATGTTGTTATTTTTTTAAAAAAATTCATAACTAATTGAGCGTATATAAACGAGGGAACATCCACTCAATTCAATGGTCTAAAACGGTTTTACGTAGGTAGGGTTGTGTAGCCTTCATCGTATATTTGCCTTACCGATATCATTGCCACTTATGGCTTTCTTTGTTTATTTTTAACGTTTTGATTAGGCACCTTACCATAAATATGAACGTTGCAACTCTACGAGAGGACGGCCATCCATACATTTCTATCAAACTACACTTTTGTTCATGCGGCATTAATATGTATATAATATATGGTAAAGTAAGATTTTAATCGGTAGAAAATACAATCATACATATAACGCCTCTGACACATGATCCTAAGAAAAATTTTAAATTGTGTGCTCAACACTTTTAGATTAACCTATAAAAGATTCTACAATGTGTGCCTAATATTTTAGTGTGAAGGGGGCGAGCATGTGTGTGGGTGTGCGGGAGATGGGTGTGTGTACGCGGTGAGGTGGGGGTGGGGGTAGGGAGGGACACTGGTGGAGAAATACTTTTTAGTCACGGTTCGTAACCCCCGATTACCAATCCGGGACTAAAGTTCGCTATCTTTAGTCCCGGTTTAAATATCCGGGACTAAAAATAGATCTTTAGTCTCGGTTAGTAACACCAACCGGGACTAAAGAGAGGGTTACGGCAGTGAGATGATCCCCTTTTTCTTTTTTTTTATTTTCTCCCAAATCAAGTGGGATACATATCCCAAATCAAACCCCCAATCCACAAATCGAAGTAACATCTCAAATCTACATCACAAATCAAAGTTACTTATACACACAAATAAATACATCACAATATCCTAAGAAATTACTCAAATACATCACAGATCCAAACAATGAATCACAAATTTGTAACTTCTTAGTCAAATACATCTCAGTGAATCATCACAAATTAAAAAAAAAAAGAATGCCGCTGCCGCCGCCGGTCGCCACGAACGACAGGCGCGGCCCCACCGGCCGCCGGTCGCCGGGCGTGGCCCCGCCGCCCGCCGCCGCCGCGGCCCCGCCGCCCGAAGCCCCGCCGCCCTCCGCCGGGCACGACCCCGCTGGGCGCCGCCCCGCCGGCCGCCGCCGGCCGCCGTAGCACGCGGCCCTGCCGCCCGCCGGCCCGCCAGATGGGAAGGGGAGGCTGGCCGGGAAGGGGAGGAGGAAGGGGAGAGAAGGGGGAGGATAGGTGGAAGGGGAGGAGTTGGAGAAGAGAGTTAGAGAGGATAGATCTGAGGAGAGGGGGTGAGATTCGATCTGTTAAGTTGTAACTGTGGAGGAGAGGATAAGGGATAGGGATTATATACTACGTGTTTAATTTTAGTCCCGGTTGATATCAACCGGGACTAAAGATCATCCCGGTTGATAGTACCAACCATGACTAAAGTGGTGATCTTTAGTCCCGGTTATTGACACCAACCGGGATTAAAGATCCTCGGCCCCCTGACATACATCTGACAGGGGATGAACCGGGACTAAAGATCAAAAATTTTATAACCGGGACTAAAAACAATCTTTACTCCTGGTTTTTTTTGGATCCAAGACTATTGTGGATTTTGCCGGACCGATCAAAGATGGTTTCTCCACCAGTGGAAGCGAGGGGTGGAGACTCCCAGCTCACCGTACAACATCCAGTCCAGTGCCATATTTATCTTCTCGTACACTCTGCGGAACCTGCCCATCATGACCTCGCTCTCTAGGGTAGAATTGTCCGTCCCAACCTGGAGGAACGAACACAACCATAGAAAAGCTTGAGACAGATGCATACGAGAGGATCGATTGTCCGTCGTCGGAGGGGCATGCAATGGAGGTACGCAGTCAAAGGCTTTCTTTGCCATATACTCACTCCGTCCCAAAAATAATAATAATCAACTTCTAGAGTTTAAATTTTGTTCCATAAAAAACTAACTTCTATCTTTCTACCTACCCTCAGTACATAAAACGAGAAATTTTATTCCTTCAATACCCTTTAACTACCTATCACCACCACTACTTTTTTAATAATGGGGAGCATTTTAGCCATTTTCACCCTTCACTATTTTTGCATTGGGATGTTAGGATTAGATTTTATATGGGATAGAGGGAGTACATCTCTAATCAACGGCTTATTTTGTTTTAGCTAGCTCTAAGCAGGTCAACCCATGAGCTTCACATCTATCTCATCTATCTATCCATCTGCGTCGTCACTCCGGCTATGCTGGTGTAATGGCGTACGTATAGTCGTCGTCGTCGTCGTGGTGTACACGTACGTACCTGCAGCTGTAGCTTTACGGCCGAAATGTCAAAAGACCATTGTTGGGATGGTGGGCCTTCTCTTTCCCATGGGCTGGCGGGCGCTGATGAAGTGGGCTGGTGGCTGAAAGTTAAGGACGATGGCCCTATCCATCATGTCCACGCCAAATAGGCCGAAAGGCTGGAAAGGCCCGCTCCCAGGTTATTCACATTATTTTGCCTATATTGCTGTGTAAATTGCAAAATATATACTCATGTGAATACTAACTAGTAATGTTTTGTAGTATTTATGTTCAATTGCATATGTTTATTTATAATTTTACGTGTTGTATATATGCACTACTGTAAATTAACATATCAGACCGGAATTTTTTCGTTCAAAATGAATATGCATTTCTGTTACAAATAATATTTTATTTTGCATTAATTGCATGTTCAAAATGAATGTGCATTTCTGTTACAAATAATATTTTTATTTTGCATTAATTGCATGCCAACATGATAATTCATGTGTTTATTTTTCTCATTCAATTTCTATATTTTTCCTACGGTCCAATCAAACGATTATTCATGTGTTTTGCAATCATCCGTTTTGCACTTGCATACGTGACAGAATCATGTGTTTTTTTCATATTCCTCCTTTTTTTTTCATTCCTACAATTCAAAAAGAACCTAAAGAAAGATATGTGTAAGCAACAAAGGAATAAGTGAACATCTTATGGTTTACACCTTAAGTACAACTGATTATAGTAGACCCTTATGTAAATTTATATAGAAATAAATATTTTGTAAACATATTTACAAACAAACCCTTACAGTTGTAATTTGCCATGACATAGGTCTAATAAACTGAATTTCCTATAACATGTACATGTAAAAATTGCTATGGCAACATGCACATAGTAAATTTACTAAAATTTTGATGTGGCATTCACATAGTGATAGTAGCTAGTAATATAACATATTAAGGCTGTGTTTGAACC